TAATTTCTATTGTGTTAATGAAAGAACATGTTTTCATAATCAATCCGTTTATCCTATTCGTTTTTAGGCATTCTTGGTTCAGTTCTTGCAAAAGAAGGACGCGTATCTGATCTTGTCTCTGGTGCATTCAAGGTAGTTCCTCATGTTATTTGTTTTATCTTCTATATGTGTAAAATTACACTTCAAATTTGCTGTTTTAACGTATGTATGTGTGGCATCCAAAGTTACATACTGATCTTGCTGCCAGTTGGTGATGTTGTATCGTAGGAATGGGTATTTTATATTAATTAGGAAATGAGGGTAAAGGTTCAATGTCCTGGATGGCTTTTGAGACGGCATTCTGCGATCTTATACAATATGCATATTTAGCTGGCCTTGGATGTATTCTTTAAAGTATATTTTAGAAAATATATTTTCAGTGACTGCTATTGTTTTGTTTGTGTTTTTAAACATGTTATTGTCCTTCAGGGTTTTGTTTAAATTCTATAAATTCTAATGCGTATCAGTACGACTATAAGATTTTGCTAATTTTTGGCCTTTTACCACAGATGGCCTGGAAGCAAATTATTCGAAATGATCAGACTCCATCGGTTAAGAAACCACACAACGACTCTTTGATGGCCCAGGTTTCATATTGTCTTATAGAGTTTTATTACTCATAATTGCATTTAAAGTGGTTGGGTATTATAATAGGGGTGCTTGGAGAAGCACATCGAGTCATCATGATTCAATTGTTCTAAGCCAGCATCTGTGTGGATTCTTATTGGAGCTTCATATTCCCGAGGATGGATAATGTGATTACGTAATTAAATTTTACAGATGAACAACCTACGGCAGGAGCTGCAAATAATGGCATCAAGTCGACCTGTTACAATTGTTACTACAAGTCGAACAGGTTTCGCCTACCTTTTCTTGCACTTTAAAGATATTTTTATGTGTATTGATTATTTATTAGTAACCGCACAAGTCAACGAAACCTTAATTCTATGCAGTGTTTGTATCTTATATTTCCATCCAATGTGAAAACATCTATGGCACAGATTTATAGAGATGAATATGGTGTTTTTAAATTAGTTCGATTTTTCATAATTTCTTGGTATGATTTGCAATAAGGTCTCTTCTTGAGTATTCTGTGACCTGTCTTTGTTTACTGCAGGTACTAGATATGGTATAATTATTGTTGTAGTGGTGGTAGGAGCTGGCTACATTTGGTGGAAGGTAAAAGGTTTTATTTTATACAAGATAATAAAATAGGCTTAAAGTACTTCTCTCTTGACAAGGTTGTCATTCTATATGTGCATCTTGTGTATGTTTTCAGGGGTGGAAGCTTCCTGATATGATGTTTGCAACAAGACGTAGCTTATCCGATGCTTGCGGTTCTGTTGGTAGTCAGCTTGAAAGTGTTTATTCATCAGTTGCGGCAAGTCTCTCTCTCTCTCTCTCTCTCTCTCTCTCTCTCTCTCTCTCTCTATATATATATATATATATATATATATCTGTGTTATTTCTTTTTCTTTTTTGCTTCAAACTAGGAGATGAATTGGTCTTCTGCATTAAATTTTAGATAAAACAATGCCTTTATAAACAACCCTCCTGAAGGACGTGTTTTATATCGTTCTTTATTATTCTGTGTTAAAGTTGTGACATTGTCTTGTTTTTTATGTTGTTGTTACTGTTTTTTTTTATCATGTGAGAACTTGTCTCTTGGATCCATGGTGGAATAGAGATAGGAAACTATGCACTATGTAGGTCATCATGTTGTTTCGTGATGCGTTAAGTTCTCTCGAGAGAATGAGGGGAGCTCTATCTTTTTCCTTTCCTCTTTGATGCCATTCAATTAGGGTTTCACGTGGGCTCTGTATGACAGAGCCATGAATACTCTGGTCTGAGTCAAGTATTACCTTTTCTATCTCTTTCAAATGTTGTTGTTATGAGGTACTTGATTTATTCCCAAAAGGCATTGGCTGTGGTTGAAAGGATTTGCGGTTTAGTTGAAGTCATCTATTTTCGATGTAATAAATTTTCAAACCACTGGCTTTCATATCAAAACAAGTTATTGGAGTTATTGGATGGTTGCAACCTTCCTCTACATGTTTGGATTTTGAGGTCGGAGTCCCCATGTGGGCACTTGTGGTTGGCTGGTATTTTATCTTACATTTTTTTAATTCAGAAAAATACGAAAAATGGGAAGAAACTGCCCCTTTTTTCTCCTTTACTAAATATTTATAAAATTTACAAAACCTTTTGGTCGTTGCTTCTGATTGATCAATAAATCTCTGCACTTTTCTCAAGGAAATTTTCTGAACCTGGTGTGCTTGTCTTCCTCGTGGATTGATTTTTTATTTTGAGAAATGAAAAATAACAACATAAGAAGATTTCTTACTTTGTAGATATTTCTTCTCATTTTCAGGCCACTAAACGGGCATTATCTTCACAAATGGATGGTGCGGAACGTTCTTTGGAGGAATCTATAGAATTTAATACTAGGACACAACAAGAGGTGGGCCACCATGTTAGATATTAAAGAGTAATTTAGTTTTTTGTATTTTTATGTTTCACGTTCATTGACAAAAAAATATTTTGAGCCATTTATAGGCTATTGAAGTACGAGAACGAGCGAATGCTGTTTGTGAGAATATTAGAGAATTTCAACATGCAGTGCAGACTCTGGTAACTCATTGTTTATATATTCATTTCTTTTCATTTCTCTCCTACTAGTATGCATGGACAGGAAATCAAATACTGATAATTTTTTTGTCTCAGGGAACAAAAATTAATGTAATAGAAGGGAATCAGGTATTATAGCATTACGCCATAAGACTTGTGGCAATTTTTACACTTGTGATTTATGAGGAATTATTTTCTCCTGCAGAATACTGTTTTAATCTGATTGTCTGGCCTTTGACATATTCTTAGGATGTGACTGCTAATGGAGTCTGGAAGTTATGCGACTATGCCCTGAACATTGAAAAGGGTAGAACTGTAGAACGTATTCAGGCATGTACAGACTATTACCTGCATACATGTCAGATGGTTTTTCATGTCTGATTCTACGGTCATCTTCTGTTACTTTCTTTTGACTATTGATCAGTTGTGCTGCTTTTTCTAACAAATTCGACCATGCCTAGCCTTAAATTTTATATTTGTAATGTTACTTCTCAGTCCAAATTTTCACATCTCTGGTTTTGTACCTTTATGTTATCAGGCATGAGTTTCAATTGATGTTATTCCTTTGGTATCTACTGACTCTAATTTCCATGGTCTTCAGGCATCACCATCCAGTTTTTCCGGGCCAGTTCGTGAACTACCACCCACCTCCCCCTCATCTTCGGTAAAAATTATCATCAGTTCCAGTAAATAGATTTACGCTAACAGTTCCAATAAAAAAAAAATTATGCATGTCAGTTTTAATTATTAAAACCAAATTATGTCCACTTCGTTCTAACAATTGTCTCCCATTTAAAAAAAAAAAATTATTATTTTTTTAATAACTAGTGTAAGGGTTTAATATGCATGTGCACAAACAAAATGGAGCGAATCCGGAAAGATTGCCTCAGTTCGGCCAAATATCTGATTCACGGGTTTTTGTAGGTGACACCACTGCAGCCCTTGAGGCCAGCACTCGAGCTACCCCCATCTTCATCCTCAAGGGTAAGTTTTATCTTTGAAGTAGAGTGTACTGTTGATCAATCTTAATAAGATAGTAAACTGATTTGGTTGAGGGTTTAAATCAAATACCTGTGGGTCTTATTGCTTTGAAGAAGTTTGATATCGTGCATATATGTTACAGACTTCTGGATATGTATCATCATGATGCCCGGATTCCAAAGGCAGAATAGCTAGATCAACAAAATATGTTTTATCTAAAGAATAATTGTATCACCATTCCCTTTCTGCTTTCTGGGCCATTACTATACTTATGGGCTATTTTTAGTGGTTGCATTGCATCCATAGACTTATTCATCTCCAGTTGTTTCAGGAGAACAGAGGCATCTTGGAAGCAGCTGAGGCGTCAAATCGCGGTGAGGTTTCTAATGGGTTTCGTGCTCTGGAGGGCACAAACAAAGCGGCTTCCAGTTCTCGGTGGTTTGGGTTTGGGTTTCCAACCTCTAATACTTCGACAATCCTAAGGACGCGAAGTGCTACAAGTGGGATGGTGCAACAGAAACGATCAACTAGTCAGCAATTATGAGGATCTCTGTATAGATCTGCCATTTAGAATGTATTTATGTGATAAATCATTTGGACGACTCTCTTGTGGGCGAAAGCCTTCAGCGGTTTAGACTGGTTAGTTTTAGAGAGCCAACCTCAAATGTAGTTGGTGCCTAGTCCCCTATTCAATTTCCATTGGACCGGGACCGGTATTGAATTTTGTAGAGCAGTTGTTTTGTCATAATATAAAATGGTTATCTAAGATGACATTTTTTTTTTGTTACATTGGGAGGAAATAAACCCCGGTGTTTCGATCCTAGGTGCCAAGCAAGGAGAAGACCCATTGTAGTATGACATAATATATGCAATAACGATTTTTAGTATTTATGTTTGTATATTATAAAATATCGCAGGTGGGAAAGGGGAAGAGAATCAGAGAAGAGGTTTTGGATTCCAACTAACTCATAATATATGGTCTACGAGAGTTATTCTCACCAAAATGAAAACAAAATTTAAATGCAATTCACGGGCAAAGGCGTCATGTGTGTTTATTTAACTTCTGCTAATAATAGCGTCACCAGTGATTGAGTTACGATTTAGAAAAATTACAAAACCTTCCAATTAAGTCAGACTACGATTATATTAATTTAGTTTAGACCATGGGTCGTATCTTTTAATTCACACACAAGCTTAAAAGTTCAGCTGGTATTTATGCAAATTTCTCTTTTAAAAAATAATAAATAAAAATCGTACGGATCCTTAGGCAGCTCAGGCCCAATTCATTTGTTTTCATACACCTTTACGAGAAAGCCCAACCGGAGTCCATTTATTTCCCGCCATTTTTCTGTGTTCGGCTTCTTTGGCGCGCAAGTATAAAACAATGAACAGACGCAACTGTGGCCCACTAGACTAGAGATACTTTCTCTTCTGAGCTCGCTCATCGGACTGAGAAAAGAGAGGAGCCAAAATGGAACCCGTTCGGTCTCAGAGGAAATTGATCGTCAACGACGTCGTCTCGACCCTCCCTCTCTACCGTTCTGCTCCGGCCCTTGAAGTTCGTCTCGAAGAGTTCGAGCTTTTCGCCCTCGATCGCCTCCGAGGTAATTCCTACCTTCTCGATAACTTTTGCAAATTTCGTTTCCGAGCAAGAGTATTTTTGGTCCAAAAATTCGGGGCAGTTTTTGCTTTAATTTTTGTTTGGTTCCTCAGAAAATGTCGGAAAGGTGAACGCATTTTCTGGTGCTAAGTTAAATATATTATACCAGATCTTTCACCGTTTAGGGCTCCAAAATTAACCTAAAAGAAAGAGCTAACAAGTATGGGGCTGGGACTCAATGAGATCGTAGTGGTAGACGGTCTTGTATGTTGTATTGTATTTTCCGGATTTGTTCTTTCATAAACTTCTTAGTAAGGTAGAAAATACTGAAAGCGTAGAGTTTTGAGCATAGTTAAAATTCAATATTTTACTGTCGCTGTTGTTGGTTTGGAAGTAAATGCATGGAAAGATTTGTTATTTGCCTGCTAGAGTGTGACTGTTTGGGAGCTGAGAAATAGAAATGCTTTCTGAAATAGTAATTGATGGCAATTACTGCTTTTTATGCAGTGCTTAAAGGGATTTCTGATGCATTATCACGAGGAAGGAAACCTGAAGAAATGGACAAATTGGTAAAACCATAGTTCCAGTTGAATATCTTTCAATTTCGCTTATTACATGCTTTTTGCAAGTTAATGTTTAGGCCTTTTACAGGCAATTGATCTATGGAAGACAAATATTAGGCATCCTCAGTCTTCTGAGGTCATCAACAAGGACATAATATCACACTTTGTTCTGCGTCTAGTTTATTGCAGAACGTAAGAACTCAATGCTTTTTGTTATAAATGTTTGTGCCACCTCATTTTATCTTATTCTATTATTGTTACCTTTTAATCCATGTCTTAGGGAGGACCTGAGGAAATGGTTTCTTTCCATGGAGACGGCCCTATTTCGTTACCGGTTTAAACGGGAAAAGCAAGAAGCTCAGGTAATATGCATAGTGATTGGTCCATTTTGTTAGTCAGTTTCTGATGATGTGAATATTCTGCTTTTGGGAATTCAGAGGGCACTCATGGCAGAATTTGATCTTCCATACAAGGCAGTTAGTAGTTCAGAATTCGAGGTAATTATATGCCTCATACTTATGATATCATGAGCTCAATATATACGAATGTGTATCTGAAACTAAGACTATTTCAGCATTTTGTATCAGTCTCATACTTTTTCAAGCCTTTAATGTCTTGGTATATGTTGCAATCACTATATTATTTTATCTTTCTGTACAGAGTGTAAAAGAGAAATTGGTCCTGGTTTCACGTTCCCTCGGTCAATCTTCACCAACTGGTAGTACAGAGTATCGATTTTATTGGTTATTGTATCTGAATACTTAAGTCAGTAAATTTTGCATCACTTTTATAATTTTGGGTTTTGTTAATTCCACTCAGATGCACTGTTAAGATATCCTAATTTCTAGGTATGTTCAATGGTGTGGTGTCAGCCTATGTTGTTAGGTCTTGCATTCGGCATGTTCATTTACCTTTTTAAAAGGAATTGCAATTTGTTGCTCACGTCCCAAAAAAAAAAGTGATTATCTACATTTTCCTTTATAGTTATCTATATTCTAATTTGCTCCTTTTATTGCTTTCTTTCTTTTGCAGCTGATGACATCTTCTTCAAGGTGTGTTTATCTTTGCTTCATGCGACTCTTCAACTGTATATTCTTTACCTTATTATTTGTTTAAGACGGTTTATCTAGTTATTGGAGTATAGGTATGAGTCTCCCAACTTCTGTTTATGTGGAAGTATGGACAAAAACAATGTCTGATGTTCTTTTTGGTCCAATGTGGTCCTATGGAACAAAACTGACATACTCTGCTGGTTCTATTTATTGCATGTGTTGCTTTATGGATGAAATCAATTATTAAGAAAAGTAAATTATTGAACGCATCTAAATTCTAACTTGCTATAAGCTCTCCAGCCCTTGCTAGATTTTCCACCATGAATCTTATTTTGTAAAAAAAAAAAGGTTAAAAAGAAACATGTGAGTATGTGGGTTTGTATTCTGATGGTTGGAAATATGTTAATGCATTGTTTGCAAATTTTGGGAAGAAGGAGCTTCCTGATCTTGTAGTCTTCAAATTAATAAATCACCTTATCTCAGTAACATTTGTATTTTTCTCTTTGTTTTCCTTCTGTTTTATTTCTTATTATCCCACTCCTTCATGAAGGTACCATTTGAAGAAGTTCCAGAACTTGTAGCTGGTCGTAGAGTGTTCATCAGTAAGGGGCATGCATATATAGCTATGAGTCAGGTTAAATTTGATGTTTTCTATTAGTTCTTGCACATATCCATAAAGTGACGATTATCATTGATATCATTTTGTGTTTATTTATTCCTCTCTCTCTCTCTCTCTCTCTTTCTCTCCAAACAATAGGTGGTTTCCCTTGTTGCCACACAATTCCGCAGTCATCTGTCAAAGGCACTTATTTTGACAAACAGGTTATTGTTGGCTATTTGTAATTCAAAAAGTGTCAGTAGTTTAAAACTCATTGATTATACTTGATATTACTTGGTATTATTTCTTTCCTCTGTATTGTCTTGAAAATCTAAGAGGTTTTGGGTTTTTCTAAATATCTGAAGTTGCATTTTCTTCTTGCAGAAAATGGACTACAACTATAGCAGAACAAGAGAAGGATCGGTTGACTCCCGTGAGTATCGGATCGTGAACCTTATATGTTGAAATAGGCATATGTTTTCAAGTTAGCTTATTGACAATTTTTCCCCTTTAATTTCCATTCAGATTGTTGAAGCCCTATCCTCAAGTTACCTGGGACCTGACTATTCTCAGGTAGGTCATTACTTGTATTAACACATCTATTACCCATACGTATCAATTGTAAGTTGAAGTTGATTAGTCTATGTTGTCTGCCTTTGTAGCCAAAAGAATTTGCTCAGATTTCCTTAAAAGACATTGATGATGTAGCTAAGAGCTCCTTTCCTCTGTGCATGCGTCACCTATTTGAAAAGGTATAAAAATTGGATAAAGAGTGGCGCTTCTTTATTTTTCTGGCTTTGTTATTCACATCTGTCTATTTTATTTGCTAATTTTTCTTCTCAGGTTCTTTTGAAGTTTTTATATTTCACTGTTCTCTTGTTTCATTCATTCTATTTATTTGCAGTTGAGAGAGGATCATCATTTAAAGCATGGAGGTAGAATGCAACTAGGTCTCTTCCTCAAGGTTAGCATTTCAATGAGCCGCATCAGTCTGGTTTCTGTCCTGTTTTATGTGGGATAGATTAGCATTTCAATGAGGCGAGACACATGTGGTGGAAAACTCCTTGATAACATGTTATTCCATGATTATACATACTATTGCCATATGTGCTATTTGGTTCAATTTAACTTTTCCACGTCCTTTCCAAACACATACTTCTCAGTTTCTCTTTTTTATTCATACACATCATGCATAGTTACATAGACATCAGATACTGATCACTGACATATACCACCGCTTGGGTTGAAGTGGTGCTTTTTTAAGGTCTTGATATGTATGTTAGTGACAAGAGTGATCAAAATTATTGAAAGTCATTCACCCTTTTCGTGTATGTCCTGTAAAAAGTTGCATTACCTGTTTATAGGAAATGTAAAGATTTGCATTAGTTGAGGTTTATTTTGGAGAATTCGGATATATTATTAAATCTTCAAGTTTTGCTGCACATTCTGATGCATGAAAAGTGTCAGTTGACGTTTATAAATACCACCTTGATATGAGAAATTGCATAATTTGTCAAAAGAATCATGAATCTGTCTTTCTAGCACCTTCTTTTCCCATTGGTTATTTTTTCACGAATTTTGTTGATTAACCTCTATGTGTAGGGTGTTGGCTTGAAGCTGGATGATGCCCTTGCGTTTTGGAAAGCTGAGTTCTCACGAAAGGTGAGTGGTGTTTTTGAAGTCTTTCATCTACCAAATCTTCATCATCGTAAAGGCACAAAGTTTTCGTCTAACATTTCATGGCACATGTTATGTGCTATCAAGATAGCAATCCAGCTTATTTGTCCACATATGGTAGAAGGATGAGGTGTATTTTTATTGCAAAATGTCAGTAAGATGCTTTTCTTCCCTGGTGCTTCTGACTTGCCTTGATTCGATGCTTTGTGCTTGATCTTTGTCATAGGTTGGTGCCGAAAGGTTTGACAAAGAATATTCATATAGCATACGCCACAATTACGGAAGAGAAGGGAAAAGAACGGTAAGACATCAAACTCAGAAGCAGATACTTGGATGTACTTGTAAAGGAATACTTAATATGATGCTGTGCATTATGATCACAATCAAATATGTTTACTTTTGGACATTGCAGGATTACACACCTTATTCCTGTCAAAAAATCATCTCTTCTACTCCTGGTGTAGGAGATCATCATGGATGCCCGTATCGAAATTTCAGGTAATTACTATTATAAAAAATTTCATTATGCATCTGGATGATACTTGGCATAAAGAGATTTAACCTCTGAACTTGGCCTGTGTGACATTACTGGATGCGTTGTACTGGATAGAACTGCCACAGCTATATATATATATATATATATATATATATATATATTAGTGCCT